TTTAAAAATAATTTTCATGTTGCCTTTGAGGGGGAAAATTTGAGGTCTTATTGTCAATGTGTTTAGTGCTTATAACATGTTTTGAAATTTTCTGAGTTGTAAGAAGTGCAAAGTTTTTACAAATATTGTATCTAAACATATTGAAAGAGTCTGTTATGTATTCCTTAACCTCTTAACTCAAAAAACCCACAAGTTGTAACTCTTCTAAAGCTCTGTTTCCTATTGAAAGGGTTCAAACGAGCAAAGGACAAAAGGAAAAAAAAAACAAATCCTGAAAGACACATGCTTATTTGTTGCTCACTGAGCAAAAAGCCCAAGTGACACAGACCAACCATCTGAAACTTTGCTCTCATTTTGAGCCAGATGGTGGAGACTTAAATTGCTCTGATTAGCAATTACTCTCACAAGTGGTCCATTCTGAGGTCTGTGAAATTGCTTGTGCAAATAGCTGCTCACCAGAGTAAGTAAAATTTTCTCAGGCTGGCCTTTTTACAAATTAAAAATCTTCTCTGGACCAGCAGCCCCTCAGTAGGGGAGTCAACCTTATCCCATGTCTGCCTTTCAAATCCAATATGTACACTGGTGGCACACAAGGATAAATTTCCTGCCTAGTGGCTTCCTCAAGGATTGGAGCAGCACTAACATTTCTTGTTTCTGATCTTTGCTCATAAGCAGGATTTCCTAGAGCAGGGGTCGGCAACCTTTCAGAAGTGGTGTGCCGAGTCTTCATTTATTCACTCTAATTTAAGGTTTCACATGCCAATAATACATTTTAATGTTTATCGAAGGTCTCTTTCTATAAATCTATAATATATAACTAAACTATTGTATGTAAAGTAAATAAGGTTTTTAAAATGTTTAAGAAGCTTAATTTAAAATTAAATTAAAATGCAGAGCCCCCCGGACCGGTGGCGAGGACCCAGGCAGTGTGAGTGCCACTGAAAATCAGCTCACGTGCCGCCTTCTGCACATGTGCCATAGGTTGCCTACCCCTGCCCTAGAGTGAAAGAAACAAGTTATGAAAATTGCTTGTTTTTGTCTCATTCAAAAAATGCTACCATTTCTGGTCTAGGTCATGTACTAATCAGTCTGAAGCAGTTCATTGCAAAATCTTTCTTGAAGCCTCGCCCCATCAGTCTCGTGATATTTTTTTTTTGTAAATGATTATATATATCACACCTCTACCCCGATATAACGCTGTCCTTGGGAGCCAAAAAATCTTACTGCGTTATAGGTGAAACGGCATTGTGTTGAACTTGCTTTGATTTGCTGGAGTGCACAGGCCCGCCCCCCCAGAGCACTGCTTTACCGTGTTATATCCAAATTCGTGTTATATCGGGGTAGGGGGCGTGTCTGTGTGTGTGTGTGTGTGTGTGTGTATATATATATAAACAGACTTTTTAATAGTGCTCTCTAGCATTTTCTTAAAGGCTTGCCTGCTGTGCACCTTCAGCCACTTATTTTGAGCCAGGTTTCTGGATGATGAACTTTCTATTAGGCTGAAAATATGAGGGTGTTACATAAGCTAAACTTGCCTGTCTCTCTGTCCTACATCCCTCTCTGGCTCTTGAGAGGAAAACTAATCAAGGGCAGACGGATATAAGTTAAATGTTCAGCCTCTTTTCATCTTATGCCACCCTCCTGCTGCTTTTGAGTGATAGCGTTTGTACAGACCGTAGCACTTTTCAAGTCCTTCCAGTCTAGTGCCTGTGTCCTCTCTACAATTTGATGGTCAATTCAAAAACTCTGTGACCTATATTGTTACCACTGCTGAACATGATTTTCAAAACTCTTCTTACTTCTTGCTTTCCTTTTATGCTAAGCCATTCATTTGTAGTTGGTAATTGTACCTTCTGATCACACTCTCCTTTGGCTAAATTACTTGCAGGTGTCAGCAACCTCCTAGCTTGTGGGAGTTGTCATTTCAGGATGGTTTTTATGGGCACTTTGTCAATCTGTTTTTGGCACTTGTTCAATTTTAAACTCATTCTAATGTGTCTTGTTCTAGTATCCAGAACACAGCCATTGTAGTCTGAATGAGTCTCTTTATCTCTTTTATAGCAAGTGCTTTAGGCTCCTTTTTAAAATTTGTACTGTTGAGACAATAATATCTAAAGCCTACAGTTCCATTCTGCTGTTTGCAAATGGCTACTATTACTATCATTCTTGTGAAGAATGTTTTTATTAGTGAAAATACCTGATGAGTCTTTGTTAGCCACGTACACTTGACATTCTTCAATTGATGGTCTGCCTGAGAAGGAGTTGCACTTTAATTCCTAGCAGAAATTCCAGGCTTGACAAATATTGAGTTAAAGGACCATTTTATCCCTTTTGCTCAACCCAACAGTCTGAAAATCTGATAGGAAAGGAACACTTCTTCTATGAATGATCTGTTACCTGAATTTGGAAATTAATTTTTAATTGCCATTGGCATCAACCTTGCTTAAAAAGGGATATAACTTTGGATACTGGCAGAATGGAAGCCTAAAGTAAGAAACTGTAAACCAGTTTGAATCATGCTTTAGAACTAGTTTAATTTTAATAATCTTAATGTGGAGTTTAATTTTTTCTTGACAATTACAAAGGTGTGTTCTTGTTGCTTTAATACTGGTTTAAAAATCTCTTAAATATGGTGTCCATAATGGCAGTCAATCATAGAACTGGAAGGGACCTCGAGAGGTCATCTACTCCAGTCTACTGCACTCATGGCAGGACTAATTATCTAGACCATTCATGACAGGTGTTTGTCTAACCTGGTCTTAAAAATCTCCATTGATGGAGATTCCACAACCTCCCTAGGCAATTTATTCTAGTGCTTAACCACCCTGACAGTTAAGAAGTTTTTCCTAATGCCCAACCTAAACCTCCCTTGCTGCAATTTAAGCCCGTTGCTTCTTGTTCTATCCTCCGAGGTTAAGAAATTTCCCCCCCCTCCTTGTAATAACCTTTTACGTACTTGAAAACTGTTATGTCCCCTCTGTCTTCTCTTTTCCAGACTAAACAAACCCAATTTTTCCCTCATAGGTCATGTTTTCTAGACCAACTGGACACAATACTCCAGTTGAGGCCTAATCAGAGCGGAGTAGAGTGAAAGAATTACTTCTCGTGTCTTGCTTACAACACACCTGCTAATTCATCCCAGAATTATGTTAGCTTTTTCTGCAACAGCGTTACACTGTTGACTCCTATTTAGGTTGTGGTCCACTATGACCCCCAGATCCCTTTTCGCAGTACTCCTTCCTAGGCAGTCATTTCCCATTTTGTGTATGTGCAACTAATTGTTCCTTCCTAAGTGGAGTACTTTGAATTTGTCCTTATTGAATTTCATTGTACATACTTCAGACCATTTCTCCAGTTTGTCCAAATCATTTTGAATTTTAATCCTATCCTCTAAAGCACTTGCAACCCTTCTCAGCTTGGTATCATCTGCAAACTTTATAAGTGTACTCTCTCTGCCATTATCTAAATCATTGATGAAGATATTGAACAGAACCGGACCCAGAACCGATCCCTGCAGGACCCCACTCGTTATGCCCTTCCAGCAGCTCTTTATGATTTTATATTAAGTTAAATCAGGCCTTAAATATAATGTTCAGTCATTTTTGAAAATTAATATAGTTATTGTGATATGATTTAATTTATTGTGAATGATGTTTTTAACTTTTCCTGATATGAGGTGATGCCTTGTCTAATAGAAAAAATCCTTTTATTAGGTTGTTGGTTGAGAGTATAATCACAATACAATAAATCGCACAGAAGAGTGAGGGGAAATTTTAAGTAGAGTGCACAGAGATTTCCCCCCCTCCCCACTGCATGACAAGAACATTGTCAAATAATTTAGGCCCAAAGTTCACTTTTTGGGGGGATTGAAGGATGGGGGTAAGACACTTTTCCGTACATTACAAAGTTTAATAAGAAATGAAATATTTTGAATGACATGTCCGCTGATTTAAACAAAAATTTCTTGTTGTGTTTCTCTGAATTATTTACTATCTTTTTAATCCAAACCCACCTGTATTTGTTCTAGTCCAGGAGATCTACACGGTCAAATGGACAATTTTTTTAAATAAAGTTGGTGGGAGGAAAATGGAGCCTGACTACACTGTCCCAAATGAGTGAAATGGAAAAAGTTAGTCAATATAAATTGTGGAAAGGAAGTTTTAGATATTTAGCCTTCTATCGGTTTCAGTAAACCAGGGTGGTATTAAGAGAACAAATCAAAGCTTCAGTCCTGCAATATGATCCATGCGAGTGGTCCCCACATCTATTGACTTAAATGGGACGCCTTACAAGTATAGGGGTCTGCCTGTATGGATTAGACTGCACAATCAAGGCGCAAATTAGTTTTGTGAATGCCATTTTAAATTTAACCAAGATAATGAATATAATCCGCTCCTAGTGAAGTCAATGGGAATCATTACACTGACTTGAAGGGAAATTGGATCTGTCCCTCTCCGATTTAAAAAAAAAAAAAAGGGGACAGTACTTGAGGGGATGAAGAAGAGATTGCGCGTATTAGAACAAGAGCTCTCCCTTCACCCAATTTCCCTTTTGCCAATTATGGAGTGATTTAAAGCTTTGGCCAACCATGACTATATAAATACAAATAATGGTAAAAAAATAAAAGAATTCACTGTCACAATTAAGTTTAAGCACATTGTCAGGATTTAACAACTGACATATATAACAATTAAATGGCCAATGGCCAAAGTTAAAGCATACTCCATAGACTTCCACAGTTACAGAAACCCACTAAAAATCCTCATAAGTTTATAAAATGCCCTCACTTCCTATTTTTTTTAAATGGCTTATTTTATAATGGACTTTTGGTGACTGTTTATATACGGTTTTAATGTCTGCCTTTCTCAATTGTTAGAAAATTATATAGAACTGTAAACAACCATTAGTAATCAGCCTATTACAAGCTTCCATGCATTATTTTTATCATTTTATCATCTTTATGAAGAAATTTTACATATATTTTTTTTCTTCTTCCTCAGAGCTCTACACAGTGTCCAGCTGGGATATGCTGATGTCTTGCATTATCTTATTATAAACCAGAAGCTGGACCTTGGTGCAGTAGATGAAAAAGATCGAAATCTCATATTTTTAGCCACTATATATGACCAACCAAAGATACTGGACTATTTTCTTGACATGGTCAGTTGACTGAAAAGGTTACATTAAATACAAAAAAATAAAATGTATTAATTAGGAACTCTCAAGGGGTTTATAACAAATTAGTATGGCTAAAAGGCGTGGGTATAAACAATTAATCCAGAGCTCCTTATTTTGATTTTTTTGAGTGCAAAAGACTCAGATTCTGCCCTGCTCTTGAGTCACTCTACTAGTGAGTGTTATTTTGCAATCATATTTTCCTATTCTTAAAAAAGTTCACTCCCCTCTTGTATGGAAGAACCACATAATTAGGGGAAACTAATTATACTTAAAGGGCTGTCAAATGCATAAATAAACAAGCTAAAACAGAGAAAAATTACTTTTTGCTTTCTAGTATCAGGGGGTAGCCGTGTTAGTCTGGATCTGTAAAAAGCAACAGAGGGTCCTGTGGCACCTTTAAGACTAACAGATGTATTGGAGCATAAGCTTTCGTGGGTGAATGCCCACTTCGTGCGTCTGACACTGTAAAAGAACCTAGAGAGAACAAGAGTTCCACTTAGAGCTGACAATTGAATTAGGCTTGATGCCTCTACTAAGAAGGGGACTAAAAATCACTGAGTAATTTCACATAGGTAGCAGCCATCAGATGGGTGTAATGACTTTTGATCACTATAGGTTTGGAACACATCTGAGCCTGTTACCCAGAGATAAAAGGCTTTATATTTTATTAATACAGAATATGGAGGAGTTGTTCTACGGTCTGAAATATAGCTGCTTTTCTCATTGTAAATCTGTTTTGGTGGTTCAGCTCAAAAATGTTTTCCTGCTTATTTTTTGTTCTAGGGACTTCCCATACCTGATGTAAACCACGCAGCAGAAAATGGAAACACACCACTCCATGCTGCAGTGAATACTGGAAAAATGCACCTTGTATCTTTGCTGCTGCATTATCCTGGAATTAATGTGAATTTCCCAAATCCCCAGTGTGATGGAGCTACTGCACTACATCTTGCTATTGTCTATGGTAAACTTTCTCCCACATCATATTTTTTATGGTCGCTGTCAGAAGTCTAAACTTCTAAGAGGACTCTATTTTTAAACCCCAATATATGTGGCTTTATAATGTAAAAACAGCAAAGAAGGTTATTGAAATTTTTTTTTAACCTTTTCAGTTGACCTTTCAGTACTTGTAGTTAAGGAATCAAATGATTGATTAAGTAATTAGGAGCTCTTTGTCTATTTTAAAATATATGTATCTCAGCTCTGCTAAATCTGAGTGAAATACAACCATGATTTGAAAAGGGACGGGGGAGCAGTTTGTACAAAATATGGCATAATATTCCATCGGGATATTAGTGGCTAGGAAAAAAAGCCATATCAGGAAACTGTTCTCTGCAAATCTTGGCTTGCAAAAGTTTGCAGGATAGACCAAGACATTGTGAACATAAGGATGCACAAAGAAATGTCTAAAGAATATTTTATGGAAGGATTAGTCTGTGAAGAAGAAAAAAGTTATGTATCAGGCAGGTTGCAAAAGGTTTTTCCTGTGTGCGGAGGAGACCGTTTGATTTTCTGTTTATTGAAGAATTGTTAGTGAGCTGCAGATTTTTATAACTGGTCTTACTACAATTTTGCTTTTATGATGTACACATTCAGAAAATGTGTCAGTCCCTTATTCATCACAGCATGTTTGAAATGTCTTTCCATTTTGATTGTGCTGCTAGCATATGATGTTAAACCTGTTAATCTTTATATGTTTTTAACAAAAGCAGGTTGACCAATTCTGTTAATGTTCTAAGTTTTTATTATTTAAAAAACAAAAACAAACAAACAAACAAAAAAAACACATTCCCAGAATCTCCTAAAATTCTGGTATTGTTTATCATTTATACTCCAGTAAATGGAGATATGGTATTCTGTGCAAATTTATTGTTAAAACAATATTCTTGGAAATCACATATGTTGTCTTAGATTATTTTAATTCCCAAAACAGTGCATTTAAATTTAAATAGATATTTAAAATAGGTGAACTAATTTTGTTTTTCCACAAAATAAAAGAAATATAAGTGTGATATTAACAGAAGTCTTTGGACTCCAAAATCCTCTTCACCATCTTTGTTTCATCTAGGGTACTTGGGTATTTGCTATTTATTGCTGAATGCTGCAGCTGATGTGGAAAGTCCTCTGGGAGATCTAACACCTGTGCAACTTGCTGAGAATTTTGGTAATGAAACTATAACTAAGTTCATAAAGATGCATGTTAAAAAAATGAAACTTGAAAATAAAATGTTTGCCTGACTATGTAAAGCATAATAGCATTTTCCAATGTATCTATTTTAATTTTGTACATTACACCTATTTTAAACTTTTGACATTACAGTGCTGCTTTTATCTGAGACATGGCAGCTTGCCAACATTAGTTTTTAGTGGTAAATTCTGCTATGCAGACCTGAAAGTTTTATATCTTAGGCCACTTCCTTCTGTTGTTTTATCCTCTTCCTGGTTTTGGCTGTTCTCAACCAAACATATAAATGAAAGGGTACATATAACCTCCTGCATATTAAAGCTGACACTGTTTAGTTTTTAGGTATAAAAATACAGAGAATATTGATGTCAGTTGTATTAACACAGTGAATCATATTTTTACACTGTTATAAATTTGAGATGTTCATCAATTTGACTCCTAAGTATTTTCTGGATTATTTGTGTGTGACATTTTTTAAGACAAGATTTTAAGAAGTGACTAATGATTTTTGGTGTCACCAAGTATTTGAGTGCCCAACCTGAGACCCCTTAAAGGAGCTGCATAATCAAAGTGCTGAGCTTTCACCCTCTGAAAATGAGGCCCCTTTAAATGTTTAAATTAAGAGAATCTATTTCTTGTATATTGTATGCTTGAGATCATAGAACTCCCATTCTAACTCACATTCTTATTTACAATGTCACCAGAAAGTGAAAACAAGTGTTCGCATGGGATTTTTGTAGCTGGCATTGCAAGGATTTATGTGCCAGCTATGCTAAACATTCGTATCCCCCTTCATGCTTCGGCCACCATTCCAGAGGACATGCTTCCATGCTGATGACGCTCATTAAAAAAAATGTGTTAATTACATTGGTGACTGAACTCCTTGGGGGAGAATTGTATGTCTCCAACTCTATTTTACATGCATTCTGCCAGAAGCTCAGAATGAGTGACAAGGGATGGATCACTTGATGATTACCTGTTCTTTTCATTCCCTCTGGGGCACCTGCACTGGTCACTGTCGGACAACAGGCTACTGGGCTAGAAGGACCTTTGATCTGACCCAGTAGGGCCATTCTTATGTTCATATTTTCCTGTTATAGTAGTCTCGGATGATGACTCAACACATGTTCATTTTAAGAATACTTTCGCTGCAGATTTGACAAAACGCAAAGAAGGTACCAATGTGAGATTTCTAAAAATAGCTACAGCACTCTACCCAAGGTTTAAGAATCTGAAGTGCCTTCTAAAATCTGAGAGGGATAAGGTGTGGAGTTTGCTTTCAGAAGTCTTAAAATAGCAACATTCCAATGCGGAAACTACAGAACCCTAACCACCAAAAAGAAAATCAACCTTCTGATGGCATCTGACTCATGATGATGAAAATGAACATGTGGCGGTCCACACTGCTTTGGATTGTTATTGAGCAGAACCCGTCATCAGCATGGTCACATATCCCCTGGGATGGTGATTGAAGCATGAAGGGACATATGAACCTTTAGCACATCTGGCACGTAAATATCTTGTGATACCGGCTACAATAGTGCCATGTGAACATCTGTTCTCACTTTCAAGTGACATTGTGAACAAGAAGTGAGCAGCATTATTTTCTGCAAATGTAAACAAACTTGTTTGAGCAATTGGCTGAACAGGAAATAGGACTGAATGGACTTGTAGGCGCTAAAGTTTTATATTTTATATTTTAATGCAGTTTTTTTACATAATTCTACATTTGTAAGTTCAACTTTCATGATAAAGAGATTGAACTACAGTACTTGTATTAGGTGAATTGAAAAATTCTATTTCTTTTGTTTTTTACAGTGCAAATATTTGTAATAAAAAATAAAGTGAGCACTGTGCACTTTGTATTCTGTGTGGTAATTGAAATCAATATATTTCAAAATGTAGAAAACATCCAAAATATTTAAATAAATTGTATTCTATTATTGCTTAATTTTTTTAATCATGCACTTTTTTAAAATCAAAATCACGCTTTTTTAAATCGCTTGACAGAATTTTTATCTTCTCAAAGGTCAAGAGATATGTTTTACTATTTTAAATGAAACAGCTTCTTATGCATACACTACATGACAAGCAAAAACAGCACTTAAAAGATGTTTGATTTCTTAAACCTGAGCTATTGTGTTTACTTCAGATTTTCCATACAGTTCTTTTACTTCGCTATATTGACTAAATGAAAGATGCAAGCACATCGGAAATTACCAAGACAACCAGCAAACATGAAATTCTGTAAATATGTTTTTACAATTTAGATTAAGAATGATGCATATTTACAGCATAAGAATGCCAGTAAATAAGCCAGACGGAGGAAGTGACTGTAGGAGTGTATAGTTCAAGTACTGATGAAGAAATAAGAAAGCAACAGATAATGATGGGCTAAGACTTTCCTGTCTGGAATCTAGCATGCAGGGCTACTTAAAATATATATAAAAATTAATTAAGTTCCTTGTTTATATAGACCTTATATAGAGGGGTCCTTTAACACAACTGGTGAGTTGAAATAAAACTATTTTTCTTATTTTTAGCAATAACAAGAATAACATATGAGACCATGAAGTGTTTGCATGACTGTTATTAAATCATGTGAGTAACTGAAATACAAAAATAATTTAAAATCAAATAATTCCAGTTTACTGAAGATGTGGAACATATATATTCAGTGGGATGTATTGGTCCCCTTCAAGTTAATGATAAAACTCACATTGGGTTCAGTGGAGTTAGTACATAGGACCTGATCCTGCAAATGAGTGACTGACATGTCATGTGAATAGAGATGCAATGGATTTACTTGTGTAAGAGAGGACTACCCCCTTGAATAAGGTTTTGCTCTCACAGTGATTAAAGATAAGAAATAGTAGTCCAAGTCCCTTCTTCTGATACTGAAGTCTGATGGTATAGTGAGAAGTATTTTGTTCATTTCTGCCTAGAAAAATACAATTCTGAGTATTCTCAATGCTTTTAGAATAAAGATCATATAATTTCTCATTACTGTCCATTTTAATGCACATTTCTATAGCTCACTTCTTCGGATCGTGGGCTGTAGTCCACGAAAGCTTATGCTCTAATAAATTTGTTAGTCTCTAAGGTGCCACAAGTACTCCTGTTCTTCTTTTTGCGGATACAGACTAACACGGCTGCTACTCTGAAACCTGTCATTTCTATAGCTAACACTTTTGACTCAAATTGTACTATTTACAAAAATCTAACAGCATAAAATGGAAACTTATCAAAGTAAGATTAATCTTGCTTGGTTTTGTTATGCTTGTAGAAAGAATTACCAAGATGCTAGACAGAACTTGTTAAACAGTGAGAAAGGAAGCAACACTTGATTTAAAAAAAAACAAAAACAAAAAAAACCCGTTCTTTTCATTCCATCTCTTACTGTTTTCTTGATATTCTGTGTTGTCCTCTCATTTTCTCTAGTAGGTAGGTAATCTTTTTAATGTTCCACAATAAAAAAGGGATGAAGGGTAAACTTCCAAAATAGCAGAGGGGTTTTTTGGGGGTTAAAATGCAGCCTAAACAGAGGGCTAACTAAAGGCTTAAGCCATAGCCCCATCTTGACTGTGGGACTTAAGTGGTGCATATGTCTTGTCCTGACCCTCTGAACAGGGGTGGGCATCAAACCAAAGGAGCTCCTGGTCCATTACGCTGGAAAATCTGAGGTAAATTACTGCTTAATGGAAATTCTTAACCAAAAGAGAGGGAAGAATGAAATAAAACAAAAATGCCTAAAAATTACAATAAATGAGAAACTGGACTGCCTCAAAACTCAGCAAATACCATCACTGTCACAATTAATGGGACTATCTCTGCTAACCTCAAAGTTCTTGGAGGATATCCTATTCTCTCCCAAAGATAAAGAACAGAATAAAAGACCTATTAGAAAATTATTTATCTGGAATGACAGGTTCTGAAGAGCATCAAATATGAAACTTCTGAATCTAAAAACATAGCTGTGTGATAGAAACTGAGACATGACTTGATGGGAGAAGGATCACAAGGAAGAATTTATTTTTTTTTTAAAGGCAGCCTCTAGAAAGGTGTGGATTGAAAACTGCATCACTATGTAAAGGAAAATAGAGTGCCTTGAAAATTACGGACCCAAACATGGCAGCTCTTGGAAGTTATGGAGTTTCAGGTTGAAGAAGTTGAGGGATCTGCTCTTTTGCCTGTAGAAGATGCAGATTATTAAACAATTGATGATAATTTAACATTATTATTATTATTATCAACAAAAATAAAATACTCTGAACTTAATCCTTTACATTTTCAAAGCTGTATAGATACTGTAATTAACTAATTCTCACTCCTGAATGAGGCAGCACCACAGCAAGGCATTATTATTAACCCCATTTTACAGATAAAGAAACTGAAGGACAGAGGTAAAAGGGTTTGATCTTAAAAACTACTGACATAATTGATTGTTAGTGTATAAAGATTAAAGAGCCTGATCCTGTCAGCGCTTGACATGCAGAACTTTCATTGAAGTCAAAGGGAGTTCTGTGCATAGGGTATCTGCAGAACTAGGCCCTTGGATAAACATATTTACAGTAAGATAGATGTATATGAAAAGTTTAAAAGTTTCTAGAAACAGCTACCATTGTTTCAATACCATACTCAGTGAAACAACAACCTGAAAGCAGAGATTATAACTTTTAAGGGTCCTTCCTAGCAGGAGCCCTTATTGATGGTGCACTGTATGATCGGTCTAAAAGGAACAGCTTTCCCATGAGAAAGTATTGAAAGGCAGATAGTTTCCAACTGTTGGGTCAGTTCTATTGCTGTGGTTAATTTAACAGTTGGTGTAAATTAATAACATTACAATAAAATATGATTTTTTAAAAAATTATTTCATTTACCATACAACTCTGAAACTGTCTGATTTTTCAGCACCATCTATAGAAGTTTTTATAAAATATCCTATTACTGTGGTATCTGAATGCTTCCTAAGGGGAATACCAATTCTTTCAATTGTACTTTGTATCATAAAATTGTTGCTTTTGTTGTTATTAATATAAGACACCTTGTTTTCTTTTTGGGCACAATCCTGTTCCCTTTGAAGGCAATGGGAGTTTTGCCATTGAATTAATGGGAGGAGGACTGTACTGTGTCTTACTTTTCTTGGTAATTAGAGGCAGTGATTAGAATATCTTATTATTGTGCACTGGAGTTTCCCTTGCAGCAAAAAATGTATACAGTATTAACTTTAAGGTTAACTGAAACAGCATGAAGGGGGAAAATAGTTTGCCAAACACAAGCAGTAAGGAAATAAATGTTATCTAAAGCAATACTACATTAGAGATAAAAATAAAAGCCTAAAATCAGTGTACTTGAATACATTGAAATACACGTTGAACAATCTGAGCATTAGAATCCAAAGTCCAGTTCCTCATTGTGATGTTCTGAACATCATGGGAACACCCTGCACCCCATATTCATCCTTATAAAATGATTGTGTGGTATCTATCCCATGCAAAGTTTGTCATGTTGGGTGTCTTCGGAAGGCTCATGATGCACTGTCATAGGTTGTAATTTCATGTATATAGTTATGAGGCTGAAAATGTGTCCTCGTGACTAAACAAGCCCAGACAAAAACTCTCCCAGAGCAGAGGGGCAGTTACACCTCATCAGGGCATGTAGGGGACAAACCCAGCCCAGCCTTACAGGAACAAAGTACACTGGCCTAGGCAACAACAAAGCATCTGTTGGACTCTCAAGTGAGTCACCCCCCCTTCCTTTGGTCAGTTTGGGACTGCGATGAGGTAATGCTCACCTGACTTTGAAGGGAGGGGGCAAAGCCAAGAGGGAAGAAAGGACACGATAAAAGGGAGAGATGTGTGCCATGCTCTTCTTCTCTCTTCCACCTCCATCTACAGCCATCACCACCAAGCGACTGAAGCGCTGATCAGAGGGGAGAGCCTGGCTGGAGGGCAACCAGCCAGCTGTGGTGAGAAGCATCTCAGTTTGTAAGGGCACTGGAAATGTTAAGATCAGTCTAGAATGTGTTTTGCTTTTGTTTCATTTGACCAAATCTGACTTGTTGTGCTTTGACTTATAACCACTTAAAATCTATCTTTGTAGTTAATAAATAAATAAATTCTACCTGAAGCAGTGCATTTGGTTTGAAGCGTGTCAGAGACTCCCCCTGGGATAATAAGCCTGGTACATATCAATTTCTTTGTTAAATTGAAAAACTCATATAAGCTTGCAGCGTCCAGCGGGCATAACTGGACACTGCAAGATGGAGGTTCCTAGGATTATGTCTGGGACCAGAGATATGGGCTGGTGTCATTCGGTTGCACAATCCAAGGAGCAGCTTACATGCCAGAGGCTGTGTGTGAACAGCTCAGGAGTAGGGGTTCTCACAGCAGAGCAGGGTAAGGCTGGCTCTCAGAGTCAAGGATTGGAATAATCTAGCAGATCCCCAGTCCAGATCACACCAGGGGAACGTCACACTCATCTGGTGTAAATGGTCATAGCTTTCCCACCTTGTAAAATGTCCAAAGCTCCAGTCACTTTATTTCTTCATTCAAACTTTTTTGCTTTCTAGTTTTAAAGATCTTCTTAAAATTCCACTATGTAATGCAAACCCTTTAAAGATGTATCTCCTTCCAATTAAATGCTATAATGTTGTACTGTGTAATCATCCCACTATTTTTGTGCCAAGTTATTAAAAATGTAATAACGTGTAATTACAAAAAATAGAATAGGAGGACTATTTTAAAGGATTAGTGAGATTTATATGATTTTGAAGTGAGCAAAACTGCTCCTGTGAAGAGAGGTTGCCTGAACCAAACCTCAGCTCCAAGCAAAATTGACTATAATGACCACCTATAAACAAGGGTATTATGAGGTAAGTACCACTGACACAGTTTCATAGGCTGCAAGCCGGCACATACCAGCTTACAATGGGAAACTAAAGAGCCTTTCCTCTTAGCTGACCCCTTTCCCTACAGTTTCTTCCTTGTATACAAAAATTTACATGAATTATTTTTGTTTAAAAAGAGGAATATATTCTATCCTCTACTGCCAGAACTGTTCTATTCACATTTGTGGGGGTGGAGGCTGCAGTCCTACCACCTGTGACACCTATGAAAGGCCTAAGATTCTGGAGACAGTGCCTGAAAAATCCCACAAAAGCTTGAGTCTCTGGTCAAAAGTATAGGCTATCTCAGAGGTGGGCAAACTACGGCCCGTGGGACCATCCTGCCTGGCCCCTGAGCTCCTGGCCGGGGAGGCTAGCTCCCGCCCCCTCCCCTGCTGTTCCCTCTACCCTGCAGCCTCAGCTCACTGTGCCGCCAGCACTCTGGGCGGTGGGGCTGCAAGCTCCTGCTGCTCTGGGCGGCATGGTAAGGGGGAAGGGAGCCGGGGGGGGGGTTTGGATAAGGGGCAGAGGGTCCCGGGAGGCAGTCAGGGGACAGGAAGCCAGCGGTTGGATGGGGTGGAAGTTCGGGGTGGAGGGATCAGGGGATGGGAAACAGGGGGGGTTGATAGGCATGGGAGTCCCGGGGGGTGGGGAGGGCAGGGAGCAGGGGGGTTGGATAGAGGGTGGTGTCCCGGGGGGGCAGTTAGGGGTCAGGGGGTTGCAGGAGGGAGCAGTCAGGGGACAAGGAGCAGGGGGGGGGTTGGATGGGTCAGGAGTTCTGAGGAGGGCAGTCAGAGGGCAGGAAGTGGGAGGGGGCAGAGGCCAGGCTGTTTGGGGAGGCATAGCCTTCCTTACCTGACCCTCCATACAGTTTTGCAACCCTGATGTGGCCCTCGGGCCAAAAAGTTTGCCCACCCCTGGGTTATCTGGAGGTGCTGTGACCCATGCAAATGTAGAAAGGTGAGCCTCCGGCACATATCAAAATGTGTGATTCACCCCCATAGAGCAGCAGTTCTCAAACTGTGGGTTGTGACCCCAAAGTGAGTTGTGACCCCATTTTAATGGGGTTACCAGGGCCAGCATTAGACTTGCTGGGAACCAGAGCTGAAGCCCGAACTCCACCCCCACCCAAGGTGGTGGGGCTCAGGCTCCAGCCCCCTCTCCCTCCACCCAAGGCAGTGGGACTCGGTCTCCCCCTGCCTCCTGGGGTCATATAGTAACTTTGTTGTCAGAACAGGGTCACGGTGCAATGAAGTTTGACAACCCCTGCCATAGAGGGTCTTCCTCTCTACCAAAATAGAGGCCCCCTGAAACACATAAGGGACTCCGCTGTAGACGCCAAAACCCATATGGCCCCTCCTTCAATGTTGAAACTGTGGACCTCTCTGACTTGTACAGGGAATCCTGCAAATGTTAAAATGGGGTGATCCTCATGGAGTCCTGCAGCCCAGATTGGATGTCATACATTCAACTGAGCTGCAGGAATAGCCTCCACCTGTCCTTCACAGCTACCATTATGCTTGCTGGGGAAGCAGCCTCCTTTCACCAGGAGAGAGCTGCCAAGAAGAGCAGGCAAGCACCTGCAAAAAGTGCCAGTATTTGCCCTACGCTCCCCACCAGACTCATCTATCCACCTAGCTCCACCTCCCATAAATCCTGGCTTCTCTCAGCTGCCATCTTCCCAAGCTATTCACATCCAACCCCAACTCTCTCCCCCACCTTCCTTAATTTACCCAGGTACCCACCTGGACACTTCCACAAACCTAGCTACCACCAACTTCTCAAACACCCCCCAACAGCTCCCAGTTATCTCAACCTGCTGCCCCCCCCTCCAGCCCTCCCAACAAACGTAGCTAACCTCTAGCTTCCCTCCCCCAGTTATCACCAAGCTATGCCCAGCCACACATACAACAGTCCTCAGCTTCCCCTTAGACTAGGCTCCAGTTTATCTCCCCTCCCCATTGGACACCTCTACAAATCCAGCTGCTGTTAAGGTTGCCAATTTTGGTTGGACATATTCCTGGAGACTCCAGGACAATAGTGGAGGGTTGGCAACTCTAGCTGTTGTTAACTGCCCTCCCCCCCAATTGCCTCAACTCATCCCTCCAGACATTCCCTACCTACTCCCCAGAGGAGTGGGTACTCTTCAGCACCCACCACATTTTGTGCAGCCCCATATCTTCCTCAGCTTCGGGGGGCAAGGCGTATTGAGCTTAAACTGAAGTTTAGGCTACAAATCTACATCTACCAATGCTCTGCAAAACATGTAACGACATATAAACTCTCACATGGAGCTGTACAAAATTTGGCAGCAAGGGGAGGAGCAGGAGCTTTATCCCTTCCACGGGGGAAGTGTGTGTGTGAGAGAGAGAGGGAAAAACACCCCCGGCAAGAGCCCTGTTGACACTGGAAGGGACCCCAGGCCAGCCGGGGTGCCCCTTCCCCGGCCCCCAGAGAGGGGTGGGCGGTCGCTGTGCCGCTCCGGAGTGAGGGTTGGGGATGAGGCAGCCCAGGGCTGGGCCCGGCCCGCCTTCCCCCTCCCACTCTTTGTGGGTCACATGAGAGGGGGCGGGCGGCTTGGGGAGAGGCAGCAGCTGAGCTCGGGGCGGCTGCTGCGTGTGTGTGAGTCTGACGGGGGCGACGGGACGGGAGCTGGGGAAACCCCCGGGCCTCGCTCAGCCTCTGCCGCTCTCGAGGGTCCTGCTCACGGCGCCCGACATGGACGAGGAGGGCGGCGGCGGCGGTAAGTGGCGGAGTTGGTGTGGGAAGCCGCCGGGGCTGGGGGAGGCGGTAGAGGGGGTCTGGGCCGCCGGGTGTTGGCGGGGACACGGTCTCCTGTACCTGGTCTCTCGTGCGTGAGGCTTTGAGCTGGGGGACACGTCCTCCCGCCCCCGGCTTTCCCCGTTTGGGCGCTGTGTGTTTGCTGGTGGGGAGGGCAGCGGGTGTCTCCCTCCCTGTCTGGAGCGTCCTGCTCTCAGGGAGACGCCGATCCTGTCTCCCACGCACGAACAGCCCACCTCCGCTGTGCCCTCCTTGCCATCGCCTCCCACCCGTGCTGCCCCTTCTCGTAACACTGGCCACACCTTCCTGCCTGCTCCCCACCCCATCTCTTTGCTCCCCTGCAACCACATACCACTCCTGCTGAGCGCCCTGGGATACCCCATGACTCCCACCCTGCTCCCCGCATCCACATCCCCGACTGTGCCTCCCCCACATCGTCTTTAATGCAGAGCACTTACCCGGTCCCCTCCACCCTGCCGTATTGTCCTTCTCACCCTTCGCCCACTTGTGTTCCCCACCATACATCCACTTTGCCCTTCCTTCCCTCCTCCACATAACAATCCCATTCATACACATCTCTCTCAGCCCCCACACTATCCCCCACAGACCTTCTTCTTACATATTTATTAATGTCTCTTGGGGGAAAACCAAGGGAAGTGACTATAATAACAAGTAGTGAATAGTTTTCAGGCTTCTACATCCTGAATAAAGAGGAATGTTGTTGGAGGAGAAATGGGCCTTATCCTTCTGGCAGGGATGTCCAAGTACTGCCAGTCTTTGCTGATCCTAGTCTAGGGACATTGCTCCTATTAGGATTGACTTGCTCAAGTTCCATGTGCTAATGACAACAATAGAGAGCTCTGTGCACCCTAGTTTATGAATCTCTCCTACCCCCCAAAAGGTCAAACATTTCTGAGGGAGGAAAAATGAATGCACACTTGCTTAGGGTCTGTGAGAATGCTGGAAAAGAGAAGTCGATTTAAACACCCTGACAGTAGAACTCACTGTGTGCATCTATGTTTGGCCAGCTCTCACAGTTGACTTGCCCCCATGGTGTTATATTGACAGCCAGTTGTTTGTTCTTGTGTCTCAACACAGTGAAATCATTGCACACTGTATGCAGCTGCTGCTCCTATCAAAAATTATGTGTGTGTTTTGCAGTAAATAATGTACAGTGAAAAGGCTAATTATATTCTGCAACAGCCCTGCATTTGTGTGTAATTTTAATGTAGGTGCAATGATAATCACTGAGTTGTTCATCCAGTTTACACAAGGTAAACAATTTCCATAGGTAGTAATGTAAATGTTTCCAAACCCACATCTTAGAAAATCAGGACGTGCTTCTTTCACCATCTTTTAGTACAATTGTGATCTTTCAGGGATTAATTTGTACAACGACATGAGCTAATAGACCCCAAACAGATTTGCACGAAGGCTTTCTCTGTTTTATCTGAAATGCATTGTCTGTGTGAAGCTTTTTGTCTGACCAGCCAATTCTCAATGCTATCACTAATAAGGATGCTGACTAACTGTTGTCCCATATCAAAGGTAGTTTTTCAGGACGAGGTTGTTAATCAAGATGTCTTCCAAATAAAATAAACAGTAATTGTGTATGGATGAATATATTTGTTTCATTATAAATATGTCAAGTAATGAGTGGTAAGATTAGTAGTTGTAATGTGATTGCTAGCTCTTAAAATAGTAAGGGAAGAACTCTGAAATAAAGTGGGTGTGGTATTTGTTTTGACAAGTGGAAAAAATGCCATGATGCATCAGTAACATCACAGAAAAATATCCTACAAACAGTCCATCTGCAAACATCAATATTTCTCAGCAATTATTTCCCTCAGCTGTTTTGTCAATAAGATACGACTTTTCTTTAAAAAGAAGAAAAGGAAAAAAAGTGGTTTTACTACTACTAATAGTAATGGGAAAACACTGTAGTAAACAGCAGAAAAATAGTAAATTAAAGATTTAATGTTTTAAAACAACCCGATATTACATCAAGGGTATATCAACAGTATATCACTGAATTTTCATGTATATGAAGGATACTTTAATATGCTTGTTTATATTAGACGGATTGAATGTCAATAGATATTTTTCACTTGTATGATCTTGAATCATCAAAAAGTTTAACTTTCACACTGCAGAGTATGTGAAAAATTGGTTTCTTCAGCCTTAAGGTCCAGTTCTGCAAGGTGCAGAGAGCCTACTTTGAGGTTCTGAGCACCTTCAGTTCTCATTGAGGTACATTGGATTTGAAGTACTTGGCACCTTGCAAAGATTGGACCCTCAAAATGGATCTACTTATTACTGAAAAAGTCACTTCTATTATTCTTCTCGGATTATTTGTCATATCTCATTTAATAAAAAATGTACTATTCAGGGTGGTCAAATTATTGTATAGTTTACAAGTGTCCTTAGTCAGCGTTATAATATTACAGATCCAAATAACTGAATGTAAAAGTTCAAATACGCTTAATGTAGCGTATTTGAACTTTTACATTAGCCTTTTGTGTCTACATTAAGCGTATTTGAACTTTTACATTAGCCTTTTGTGATTATTACACTTATTTTCATAAGAAAAAGCCTAATCCTGGTTTCCTTTCTTGTTCAAAACTTCCATTGGTAGAGTAGGATTAGTTTAACATTATTTTAAACTAACTAGATTTTGGAATGACAAGTGGTAAGAAAATTGACCATATCATGACAAGAGATTATATATACAGAGTTAAGTGTCAACTTGAAATCTAGTCAGTTTTAAAATGAATTAACAGCAGTTTTAGCTACACCTGCCCTAAGACTCTATGCTGATTTCTGAGCTTTTAAAATGCCATTTTTAGTATGTTAAAAATAGTTTTGTCTTGCCTGTCGCTGAAAGACCCACATAAAGAGGTGTTCAATTCATAAAAATAAATGAATTTGACAGTGTGAATCAGTGGCTAGGGCATTGGACTGGGATTAAGGAGACCTGAGTTCTGTTATCAGCTCTGTCATTAGCCTGATGTGTGAGCTTGAGTTCACCTCTTTGTGCCTCCAGTTCCTCATCTGTAAATGGGAAAAATTATATGCACCTCTTTTAGTAAAATATTTTTGAGATGTGTGGATGAAAACCGCTATGCGTTATCATTAAAAAAGAAAAAGAAAATTTGATAGCGAAGCTGTCAAATGTAGGACATGCTCCCTACTAGTTTAAACTCTTCCCCCCCACCCCTTCCCGGTAGTATAAATGTGGGCATAAAGGCCCATGTCATACCATCTATTATCACACAAAACTCCCGTTGATTTCAAAGGGGCTCTGTGCATGGAATAGGAGTAAGATATGATCCAAATTAATTAGTGTTTTATTTCAGCTGTCTGTTGTGTTCTAATTACAGGGCTCTTTGTACTTAATTCAGGAAAACATGTTGATTCCCCTTCCTTCCCCAGCTTGAAATGATGTCTTTTATGACTTTATTAGACTGAAACATCTCTTGCTGCAGTTAGTATGTGATAGTATTTCATTTGGGTATCTGAGGTCCTTGCATTTGATAGCAGGTGTTATGCTTGTGTAGTGATAAATAATGAAGTTTCTTTTGAGATAATTTCCAGGCCTTAAAATTCTTAGATCAGATCATTCTGCATAAAAATTTATGGCAGAATATGGCTCCTGTTATTTTGTATTAGGATCAGTTCTAATTCTGTTACATTCGTTTTCTTGAATTTGATTAGTTGTTGCATATTCTCTCCCATTCAGGTCATCAGGAATTCTGCTTATGAAAGGACTGCAAGATCAGTCACTTACTCTTTTTTTAATTAGTAGCTTTTTTTTTTGGGTCATTGGTTTTTAAACAAAGTAAAAGTTAACTTTCTATAAGGTGCTGAATTCACAGAGATACAAATCCCTCCATCCTTCCCAAACAGCTACAGCACAAGCAGTGCAATGTAAACTTCTCCATACTGTTCCCTAAACTGTGTACTTCAGTCCTGAACTCTGAGGCATTTCTTTGCATGAAAGAGTAATTCAGTATTCAGGTTCTTTCAATCCTTGACCTCTCTGCTGGAACTGCCAACGAGAATGCCAAGTGTGGTGTTGGTTGCTGTGGTGTAGGCACCTGCCCAGAGGGACTGAAACCACCAGCACGTTTCACACAGGCCACAGAAGAACAGCTTACTGATGAAGCAAATGTAGTAAGTCTGCTTTCACTCTGTCTAAATGGAAAAGCACAGTTATCATCCTTTAACATACAAATGGATAAATTTAATAATAAAGGCAAAAGTGCCCTGAGAAAAACATAGAAGAATTAAAACTGGTTTTCAAAAAAAGTAATTTAAGTATGGTAGGAGTTAAAAATAAGTATTCTTAGGCTCAAGTCAACCTTTCTGTGTCCCATAGTTTCCATTTCTCTGTAAAAGCCTGTGGAAGGGAGAATATGCACTGAAAAATCCATGTGAACTGGAAATTCACTACATCATATATTATACACAAATATTTATTTTCTGTGTTTGGAACCATAACTATATGCTGTATTCATATAATATGATATGCTTAAATTCCAACAGTAACCAAAAAGTATGTTAACCAGCATCTATTTGCATATGTCTAATTTCAGAGCACCAGGTCTGGATAACTTGCACCTGTAGTTTTAAAGAATTGGTCAAGAAGCTCTCTGAGGATTGATGTTAATTAAAAAACAAAAACCTGGGGAAATTCCAAATAGAGAGAGCCTGGGTTCTGTCAATCATTAAAAAGGGTACCTGGGATGACCTTGGTTTAGACTGGTTAGCTGGACATTGATCGCAGGCAAAATAATGGAGCAGCTGATATGAATCCGAATCAGTAAAGTACTAATGGACAGAAATATAATTAATATCAGTCAGGATGGTTTCATGATAAATAGGCCTTGCTCTTTGATGTAATTACAAGTTTGGTTGCAAAAGATAACTGGTCATGTCAAATACCTTATAGAATTCTAATAT